CGCCCGAGGAGCTCCACGCCTTCGCGAAGGATGCGGGGGTGGAGCTGCCAGCCCCGCCTGCGGGAGCCGCGGGCGTGGGATCAGTGGCGCCTGTGATGGGGGCTGCCTGGGCGGTCTTCTTGGCCCACTCGGCGCTCGTGGATTGCTTCGAGTCCATGGAGGGGCTGGTCACGGAGCAGATCACTTTGGGCAGGGTGTGCCCGAGTTTCGCCAAGGCCGAGCTCCTCCTCTCGCTGTATATCGACGACTACATCGGGTTGAAGCTGGTGAAGGATGGGGAGGACTCGGACCTCGAGGTCACGAAGGGCCACGTGCGGAGCTACCTGAATGCAAAGGGGCTCGCCGTGCACAAGGAGGAGGCTGGGGAAGGGCTGCGTCGCGGGCTTGGCCTTGCCATATCTGGGCGGCCCTATACGTTGAAGGTCTACCCCGAGAAGATGAAGGACCTGATCATCTGCACCGAGGCCATTGCGGTGACTCGGTCTGTGCGGCCACGGGAGCTTGCCACGGTGGTGGGCTGCTGGGCGTGGGCGATGCTGGTCTGTCGGCCTGCCTTCGCAATCCTGGACGCCTGCTACCGATGGGTCGGGGCCTTTGCGGGGGAGGAGGCCGAGAGGACGCAGCGCCTCCCTGTCCCCGTGTTGGAGGAGTTGACGGCCCTGTCATCGTTGGCCATCTTCTTCGAGGCGAACTTGGAGCTGGACTGGCACGCGACAGTCTATATGACCGACGCCAGCGACGAGGGCTTCGGAGCTGTTGCGACGAAGTCGAGCGTGGAGGAGATCAGGGACGAGCTGGACCGTGGGGCCGAGCAGGTGCGGCAGATTCGAGTAGGGGAGACGCACGCGGAGATAGAGGACGAGGTGAGCAAGGGGGGCTTGGAGGAGGACGAGATGATGCACCCGAGCGAGGGACGTCCTGGTATACTTACGTTGCAGCAGGGCTTGCTGGACCTGAAGGGGGACCTCGGGGACCAGGTGAGCGCTTGGATGGAGGACGTGCGCATGGGGGAGTTGATGGACGTGACGGTGGTGGAACGGCTCTTCAGCCGACTGCGGAGGCGGTGGTACTGGATCTGCCACCTCACCTTGTTCCTGGACACCTTCTCGGACGACTACTACAGGGACTCGCGCACGCCCTGGGGTTACGAAGGGCTCAGCGAGGGTATGCAGCGCAAGGTCGACGAGGACAACTACATTGCTCAGGTGATCATCGAGGTCGCCAGGCTCGCGGTCCGCGAGGGTTTAGGCTTCATTATCTTGGGACCCGTGGCGGTGAAGATGCTGGAGTGGGCACCCTGGGACAGGCTCGCCGAGACGGAGGGCGTTTTCTCCCTGGAGGTGGGCGAGCTGGTGGTGCTGACCAACCTGGCGAGGCTCGTGGACAACGGAGGGCTATGGGACGAGTTCCCGCTGACCTCAGGCGCCGCCGTCAGCTATGGGGACGTCTTTCTGGAGCACTACGCCACGAGGTTAGAGCAGCTCGACTACACCTGGAGCGAAGTACCAAAGGGGGCGCAGGTGCGACTGCGACGGGGTCGACCGCGGGTGGTGCGGAGCAGGGGGCAGGTGATGCCCATCGGCGCTTCCTGGGTCGACGAGTCGAGGTGGTACGAGCTCTTCAGGGGGCGTTGGGAGGCGGAGGAACACAACAATGTGCTGGAGCTGCGGTGCGTGGTGAGCGTGCTGCGACATCTGGCGAGATCTTCGAGATGCTGGCACAAGCGAGTGGTGATCATGACGGACTCTGTGGTCTCCATGGGCGTGCTGCAGAAGGGTCGTTCATCAGCGACGTCGCTTTTGAGGTTGGCACGAGTGGCATGTGGCATCGCGCTGGCATTGGGCATCAGAGGTTACTACCGGTGGGTGCCCAGCCAGTGGAACATGGCCGACGGCCCGAGCCGTGGTGTCGACATCGGCGCAGCGGACGAAACGAAGCAGGCGCACAGGATGAGGACGACGCCCAAGGCGGTGCGGCCGCTGCTGCAGGTGCTGGAACGGCGGCGGTGACCCGCGGGACCTTGGCGGTGCGTCTGGGGCTCGACTACCTTCTCAGCAGGGAGGCCTTGGCCTCCCAAGCGAGAACGTGGCGGCCTTGGGCGTCTACCTCGGCGACGTGGGTCGCTACTGCTGCCACATCGGGAGCTACGGCGACTGCGGGAAGGAGCTGCAGGGCTTCGCGCTGGGCTGCCGCTGGCGGCGACGCTGGTTCGGCGGCGAGGAGCGGCGGCAGGATGTCCCTCTGGGTAGTGCTGGTGGTGACGCTGCACGTGGCCAGTGGCGCCCGCAGGGGGGCGTCTGCACCGCCGCTGCAGAAGCGCGGCGCACGCGCCTGGCAGCAGGCCAAGCAGGACCGCCCTCGGTGGAACAACAGGTTGGTGGTCCACGCGGTCGACGACTCCACCAACGTCGTCTACGAGCGGGAGGTCAGGGCCTTCCTCGTCGACTGCAAGCGCGGGGAGGTGCCGTTCACGACCCTGGAGCAGAGGGACCGCGCGCTGGGGAACTACATCAGCGACCTCTGCTACCTGAGGGGTGACAACTACATGAAGGCCTCCCTCGCTTTCAATGGCTTCATGCATGTCTTCGAGGATCATCGAGGGAGGCTCCCGACAGCGCACCGTGCGCTGAAGTCGTGGGAACGCATGCAGTTCGGAGGCGAGGGCCACCCGATCCCGTTCCAGGCGATGGGGGTGATCATCACAAGGATGCTGGAGATGGGGCACCTGCTGGAGGCGAGTGCCTGCACCGTGCAGCTGGACGGCTGGCTTCGGGAGCAGGACTGGGAGATGCTGCGGGCCAAGCATGTCAGCTTCACGCCCGACGGCGGCGTGGGCCTCAAGCTTGGCGACCGCATGATGGGACAGAAGACCAAGACGGGCGCCAACCAGGGTGCCGTGCTGGAGTGGCCACTGTCGAAGCTCTTGATGAAGGTGCTGGTCCAAGATCGGGAGCCTGATGATCAGGTCTTCCCCTTCACCCAGCCGAGCTTCCGCAAGGTCTGGATGAAGACGCTGAAGGCGGTGGGCCTGGAGACCATGGGGCCGCCGCACGGCATGCGCCACGCGGCTGCGGCCCGCTTCGTGGCGCTGAGCGGCGACCTGGAGGCGGCGCGCAGGCGGGGCCGCTGGGCTTCCACCGCCGGCCTCCAGCGCTACACCAAGTGCCACGCGCTGGTGGGGAAGCTCAGCGAGCTGGACGGCGCGCAGATCAAGCAGGGCTGTGCCTTCTGGCGCCGCCCGCGCCAGGCGGTGCACGACGCCGTCGTGAGAGGGCCAGGCGCGGGGACGCCTCTCGGCAGACGCATCGTCGGTGCTCTTGCGAGCGCCCGTGGCCGTGAGGTCCCCGTCGCAATGTACGGAGCGACGTAGGCAGCCCCCTCTCCCCACCTAATGATATCGAGCCAAGTCTGGAGAGGGGGTTCCTTGGGGGGAGGCCGTGAGGTTTTAAGCAAAGCTGTAAGGTTATCTGCCTCGCTCTCCCACCCACCCGTGTCGCCCGTGCTCGGCAGTCTTTCCTTTTGAAGGCCTTTGGCCAGTGGCCCAGTCGGGTCGGCTGGGAGGGGTCGAAAAAGTTTTGTGGTTTGGCCCAGGTCGAAGGCTCAGGTAGCTGGCCTGGGTTTATTGCTGTGCTCATGCAGCCAGCTGAGCTGCTCTCTTTTTCTCTGAAGAATTTCTGGGGTTGAACACCCCCTCGGCCCGCGCCCTGGTGCAAATATCGTCTCGTCAGCATCGGTCTGTTGTGTTTGCAGTATTCCTGCCAGCCCTCTCGGGCTCTGCTCCGCCTATCCCCCCTCAAGGGTTTTCTACCCCTCCCCCAGACTGGCTCTGAGTATAGGGTTCACGTGTAAATAGTTGTTCTTGAACTTTATTTTACACTACCCGTCGTAGTCTGTTAGCCGCCCTTTCCCCCTCCGTCCCCCTCTGCCCCTCTGGGCTCAAGTCGGCCCCACCGCACCCTCCCTTTGGGGAGGGGTCGAAAAAGTTTTGTGGTTTGGCCCAGGTCGAAGGCTCAGGTAGCTGGCCTGGGTTTATTGCTGTGCTCATGCAGCCAGCTGAGCTGCTCTCTTTTTCTCTGAAGAATTTCTGGGGTTGAACACCCCCTCGGCCCGCGCCCTGGTGCAAATATCGTCTCGTCAGCATCGGTCTGTTGTGTTTGCAGTATTCCTGCCAGCCCTCTCGGGCTCTGCTCCGCCTATCCCCCCTCAAGGGTTTTCTACCCCTCCCCCAGACTGGCTCTGAGTATAGGGTTCACGTGTAAAAGTTCTTTTTCGTCGTTGGAGTCCCTTTTCGTCGTGGGAGTCCCTCGCGTCGTCGCGGGAGTCCATCTTCGTCATTGGAGTTCCTTTTCGTCGTGGAGTCCTTTTTCATCGTGGAGTCCCTTTTCGTCGTTTCGGTCCCTTCTCGTCGTTGGAGTCCCTTTTCGTCGTGGAGTCCTTCTTCGTCGTGTGAGTCCCTTTTCGCCGTGTGAATCCATTTTCGTCGTTTGAGTTCCTTGTCGTCGTGGGAGTCCCTTTTCGTCGTTGGAGTTCCTTTTCGTCGTGGGAGTCCCTCGAGTCGTCGCGAGGGTCCCTTTTCGTCATTGGAGTTCTTTCTCGTCATGGAGTCCCTTTTCGTCGTGGAGTTCCTTTTCGTCGTGTGACTCCTTTTTCGTCGTGTGAGTCCCTTTTCGTCGTGGAGTTCCTTTTCGTCGTGTGACTCCCTTTTCGTCGTGTGAGTCCCTTTCCGTCGTTGGAGTCCTCTTTCGTCGTGGGGGTCCCTCGCGTCGTCGCGGGTGTCCCTTTTCGTCATTGGAGTTCCTTTTCGTCGTGGAGTCCCTTTTCGTCGTGGGTCCCTTTGCGTCGCTTGGGTCCCTTTTCGTCGCGTGAGTCCCTTTTCGTCGTGGAGTCCCTTTTCGTCGTGTGCATGGTGCGGGAACGAATGCCGCGGGCGGCCATCGCCAACGACAGCTTCGTCGGGTTCTTTTCCGTTTTCTGGGAGAAACAGACCTCTGTGGATCGAGATGGCCGCAGCCACACCAGTGTGGACGTCTTTGATAGCGTTCTGCTTCGAGGGCGATAAGGGCCACCTCATGAACAACCAGGCGAGCTCTGCGCAGTAGCGCGGCACTGCCCCCTCCGTGTTCTTTTCGGGCCCCGCCCCCCTTGGAAACTGCAGCGTGGCTTACTAGCGCACAGGGGGTAGTGGCGCGCTGCTCGCAGAGCGACCCCCAGAGGCCATGCATCCGCACAGTCGGTATGCTGTCCGCGGTGATCTGGCCAGCCTCCTTGTGCATTGGGACGACGTCCTGGAGCGCCTCGTCGCCATTGCAGAGAGTTCCAGCGCTGCTGCGGCGCTGCCCCGCGACGGGGAAACGTTGACCCACTCGATTCGCTTCGAGTTCTGGATGAAAGACAAGGACTTGTCGAAGCACTTGAAGCACATGCGCCTCCGCGCTCGCGTGGTGCTGCAACTCGACTGGGAGCTCACCGACCGCGGCCACCCCGCTTTCTGCAAAGCTGCTGCGGGCGATCCCGCGACCATCCGCGCAGCGAAGGAGGCTTTCGAGAGGCGCGTGAAGCAGCGCTACCCGTGGCTCGGCACCTCTGGGGACGCAGACGGGGCGGCCCCGCCGAACGTTGAGAAAGCGACGGTGGTGGCGGAGCCGCCCAGGAGCAGTGCGCGGGAGAACGAGCACGCGACTCCGGCGCTGGCCAGCACAGACGTCGCGTCTGTCTTCGACGATGCCAGACCGACCCCCTGCGCACCCACAGATGCGACGTGGCAGGGGGCGTCGGGCCAGCGTCAGCAGCGATCCATGGGCGGCGGGCCAGTCGCCCCGTGCGTCGCCGACGCGGCCATGTTGGAGCAGTGGAATGGGAAGTATCCCGCGATTGCGTTCCCGCGCACCCTACTGCGGCAGAGCGGGGGGCCAGACTTCACGAGGGCCTGGCGCAATGGTGCCGACGTCGTGCATCGACGACGGGCAACGGGGCGGTCCGAGGAAGTGGAGAACTGGCCATCCATCGGCATGGGGATGTGGCTGGCAGGCATGCGCCGCCGAGTGAAGCACCAGATCCGATCGGACTGGCTCGTCGTCCCGGGCATGCGCAACGCCCACTTCCGCTTTTTGGGCTTCACCGCGAATTCGGGGAGCAACGCGAGGGAGTACCAGGACGAAGATGGATCAGCGTTCGCGGAGGGCCTCGCGACGTCGACGAGCCGAAATCCTTCACATCAGTAATTTTGGGTCTCGGAGCCCACAGGGCGGTTTTTCATGTTTTCCATTCGACGTTCCATGAAGCCCGATGTCATTCCGAGGCCGCGCGTCGAACGTTTTCGATGGCGCGTCGCGTTATGCGATGTCACGTGCGTTGGGGTCGTCAAAGGCTTGCGTGCTTGTTGCGGATCGGTTGATGTGGGCTGGGGTTTCTCAGGATTGTACATTTGCTTTGCGCTGGGGCGGTTTCGACCCCCATCCCTGGCTGATCCACCCCGCGGGTAACGTCGCAGGAAGAGTTCGATCATTTCGTTCGTAATGCCAGCGATGCTGTCGCGGACATTGACCGCGCCACGGGGGGGGGTCGTCCAGAAATTTCCTACCATATTGCAGTGTTGGTTCTTCGTTTTGAAGAGACACCGCCCCGCGTCATTCCTTCCGGCCCCCTCCCTCGTCCTCCCTCTTCGCGTATCTGCCCCTGCTCTCCGCGTGTCTCCGTCGTCATCGTCCATCGTCATCGTCGCCATCACCATCATCATCAGCATCATCCGCATTCTCGCCGTCTCCATCATCAATACCACCACCATCCTCATCAACATCATCAAAACACCCCCCTTGTTCCCCCGCGCCTCTGCTTCGCCACATTCCCTGCAAGTCTCGTGGCCTTGTGAGGTGCTCCACCGAAGGCCCCATCGGCAGGGCCCTTAGTGCGCCGCCCAGCCCATGTCGGCACGCCCCTCAGACGCTTCGTGTCCCCATGAGGAGCTCATCGGAGGTCCCGGCGGCAAGGTCCACATGCCGTCGCCCAGGCCACATTGATGACCTCCTCAAACATTTCGTGCCCCTATAGGCCGCTCCACCAAAAAAAGGTCCCAGCGGCAGGTTTCCCAGGCCGCCGCCCAGCATATTTCGGCATGCGTTTCACACGCTTGGTGGCCCCACGGGGAGCTACACCGACGGCCCCACAGGCAGGGCCCACAGGCCGCCGCCCAGCCCATTCCGTCATACGCTCACAAGCTTCGTGGCCCCATTCGGGAGCACCCCGGATGGCCCAAGCGACAGGGTCCACATGCCGTCGCCCAGCCCATGTCGCCCACGAGTGGCGCCCAGCACGGCTCCAAGAGCGCCCCAAGAGGCGCCGAGTAAGTTGCACCCTCATGCAAATAGTTTTTGTCACTTGTGGGGGTCCTCTTGGGGCCCTCTTGGAGCATTCTTGGGGCCCTCTGGGAGCGTTCTTGGGGCCTTCCCGGGGCCCCAGTGGGCCCTCGGAGGGCCCCAAGAACGTTCCCCGAGGGCCCCAAGAGGGACCCCCCAAAGTGGTACAAAGAATTCGCGCGAACGTGCAATCTGTTGTAGGCCTTTCGGGGCCCTCTGGGAGCTCTCTTGGGGCCCCCATTGGTGGCGCCTTGGGGCCTTGGGATGGCTCCAAGAGGCTTCGGGATTGCCCCAGACCGCCACAAGACAGCTCCGAGACGGCCGTCGAGCACCACGGGTGAAAGCAAGTGAGGCTAGGGAACAGGGCCTCTGGTAAGCCGCCACTGCGCCCCCTGGACTACCCAGACAGCGAGGGGACCTGAAACGCCCTGGGGCTCCAGGGGCCCCAGATTAGTGAAGTGAAGGTTTTTGCCATGCAAGCACCCCGAAATTCTTCACTTCACTAAACCGGACCCAGGACGAACTCGCTACGCTCCAGTCCCGCGGGAGATCCAAGACTCCCGCCGCCGCCCGGGGACGTTGCTGCATTGCGGTGCTCTGGTCACTGTTAATGGCTTCCGCGGGCTGCAGCGGCTCACTTCCATGACTACCCCGACTCACGAATCCAGTGGTTGGTCTGGCTCTATGGGTTGGTTTCGTTGTGTCGGTTGATTTTATGCTTGGTTGGCGGTCGGTGGATTTCGCGTTGTTCATTGGTGTCGTGAAGTGATTTGTCGTTTGGTTGGTCAGTGCCGTTTTGTTGATTCGTGCCGTTTTGTTGGTTGGTGTCGTTTCGTTGGTTGGTGTCGTTTTGTTGCTTGGTGTCGTTTTGTTGCTTGGTGTCCTTTTGTTGGCCGGTGTCGATTTGTTGGTTTGTTGGTTGGTGTCGGTTTGTTGGTTGGTGTCGTTTTGTTGCTTGGCGTCGTCCTGGCGGCGTGGCCGATAATCGGCGGCCTGCAATGGCGCCAGGATTTGTTTCGGGCCAGCCTTGATCGCCCTCATCATTCTCATATTCGTCAGCGTCAGCACTCGTCGCCCCCATCCGCGCACACATGCGGCCCTGGTACGGCTCTCACGCGGCCCTGCGAAGGCCTTCACTGTGCTCCCCAAAGCTTTCTGAGGGGCCCCCCAGAGGCCCCAAGAGGGCACTGGAAATTGTCGCTTCCAACTCCGCCAGGCGGAGGTCAACAAGGGTCTCACTGGTGCACTTCCAGGAATCGTCGTTCGATCCTTTTGGGGCCCTCCTGGGGCCTTCTGGAGCCGTCTTGGAAGCTCCGAGCGGCTCCATGAAGGCGCCGGGCGATATCACTTCCAATTCCGCCAGGTGGAGTTAGACCAGGGGCTCACTGAGGCCCCTTTTTGCGCCCTCCTCTGCCTTTGAAAAAGCCCCGATGGGGTTCTTCAGTGCCGTCTTCGGGCCCCTAAGAGGCCTCCAGTAGGGCATTGAAGTTATCGCTTCCAACTCCGCCACGCGGAGTTGAACCCAGGGCGGCTCTCTATGGCCCTTTCGGGGCCTTCTTAGAGCTTTTCTGAGGCCCTAAGTGGGCCCTGGGAGGTGTCATTTTCACGGGCGTTGAAAGTGACACCGCGGAGGGCCCTCTTGGGCCCTTCTTGGGGCCTCTCTTGGGTCCCTCTGGGAGCCCTCTTGGTGCCGCCCTGGGGCCTTCTCGGGGCCTTCTTGGAGCCTTTCTGGTGCTCTTTAAGTGGGCCCTGGGAGGTGTCACTTTCACGGGCGCTGAAAGTGACACATCGAAGGGCCCGCTTTCCCTCGTAGCGCTGCCCGTGGCCGGGGCATTGTGCAGCGCATCCCTCGTCGAACGTATTTTGTCGGACGCGTGGTCGAATTCCGCCAGTTCGGTCGAGATGGTGGTCAAGCGGTTCGGTTGCAATGTAGCCATGCGGATCTGAGCTTACCATTTCTTGCCATTTTGGCGGGGATCGCAGGAGCGTTTGTGTAGTGATCAACTGTGCTCGATATATCCAGCGGCAGCGTTTCATCCCAATATATTATTATGAAAAAACTCAGCAGGGGCCAAATTGCTGATGTGAAGCAACATAGGTCTCGTACGACGGCCATCCGCGGGTTGCACGACCTGCTGGCGAAGGGTGCTACGGGCCGAAGAGGCGGCCGATTGTTGGCAACTTGACGGTGCTGCACACGGCGCACGGCCTGGACGCGACCCAGAAACATATCGTGCACAACATGCGCGCAGTGACGAGCACTCCTGCAGGCACCCAGGAACAGCGTCGCAGGATGGGCCACGTCTTCCAGTCTGGCGCGATTGGTTACGGGCGCGGGCTTTGCATCACCATTTCGCCTATGAGAAGCAGCCCTGGCTTGTCATGCGTCTGCGCAGAGTGCGCCGGGACGACCCGCTGCTGCGCGCGGGGCGCACAGACGACGAACGGAATTCCATCCGAAAGCGGGTGGCGTCACGGGGGCCGCCTTCGCTGTCGGTCGGAGTGCGCCGACGCGGAGTTCCCCGATTTCGATTTGCGTCGGTGCGAAGTGACCAATGATCCTCTCTCGGTCGTTCAGGTTTTCCGCGTCGCCGCGAACGTGATCTCGGGCCGCGCCCTGGGCTCGCGGCTGCGCGCCGAGTGCGGCGTCGCGCGAAGATATCGCAGGCAGCCCCGGTGCTGCTCAACGGACAAGTTCGGACAGGGCGGCTTTTCGGGGTTGCTGCAGCTCTACTTGGCGCCGTGGAGAACCAGCGCCTAGGCGCGCTCCGCTCCCGCGGGTTCGCGCATCTCGCGAACATGTCCAAGCGCGCGCCCCTGATTGAGATCGCGAGGACAATTCGGGGGCCCCTGGCTTGGCGGACTCGGTGAAGGAGCGGCACGCGCGGGCCCGCAGGGACGAGCACTGGGCCCCCGAGGAGCACCGGGAACATCGTCCGTCGTTGGAGTTGGAATGGCGGCAGAATCACCGCGCATCGGAGCACGTAGGTCTGCGTCGGTGGCCCTCTTATGTGCGCCATGCCGAGCCGAGGACGAAGTGGGTCGCAGGGTGCGACGCCGTTGCCTGCGACGCCGACGCGGCCAGCTTCAAGAAGGCTTACGAGGCAGACGCGCAGATGATTTTCTCGAAGGTCCAGCATCACCACCATCTCAACGGGAAGCCGCTCGCACACTGCATCAAGAAAGGTTGCAAGCACGGTGACAAGTGCTAACGCGGCCCCCCGAAGATCACGCCTCCGGCGGCCCCAGACGGACCGAGGTTTCGTGTCGCGCGCCCAAGGTGGCCAAGGAAGCGCGATCGTGGGCCCCTGGAACGACGATTTCCGGAGCGGAGTTTGTCCAGCGTTTGCGGCGGCATGTCGGAGCATCGGGCGCGCCGCGCCGAACAACCGGCAGCCGCTCAGCGCAGGCATCGCTCGCGACCCGACTTGCCTGTGTCGGCACCGCGCCAGAGAAGAGACAGGAGAAGAGCACCTTCGACGCATCGCGTTCGCGGCGCAGCGGCCCACGTCGACTTCCTCGCGGCACATCGGACGGGGTGCATTTCCTAGGTGCAGCGCGTCGGGAAGAAGGCGCGGAAGTTTGCGAAGACCTGTCTGTCCACGCTGGCCGAGCGAATCCAAGGGAGGTCCGAGATGCAGCAGACGATAAACATTGTTCACCGCTGCATCGGGGAGTGGGGGCCAAGGGCGCGGCGCGGACGATCTTCGAGGAAGCGAACTGGGCGCGCTTCGCGGACAGGCCAAATCCGCTCGCAGCGGAGTGCATCACGCCCCCTGCCCTGGCAAACGGTGCTTGACGCTGTGAGCCGCCGGGCGCCGAGCCTCC